TTAAAAAGTAAATGTACTCCAGATGGCAAAGGGAATGGGTACAGTTGACTTCCACCACAAGAAATCGGATTTAAAGCCTCTTAGCTGTCACTGCCTATCTCTTTAACAGTTTTGGGTGACAACTCCTTCCATGGCTGTTCCTCTAAGGATAATATTTGCCCTAGCCTCCTCTGTGCCAGGAACCCAAGTGCACCTCTGAAGCTTTGGAGGCACAACAAAGGCAGCCATCAGCTAGATTTCAGGGACTACAAAACAGGTGCCAACCCCAGGCTTATACTGTCTTCTTCTTTGCAGTTTCTCTTTCAACCTATGGAGTTTTTGTTTTTAAAAGATTTTTTTTCTCTTGCTTTTTTATCCAAATAAGGCTGTTTTCTTTTTCCTACTTTCACACAATTAAGTTTTTTTCAGGGAAAAGACAGATGAAAGAATTACTTCTTGTCAGCAAGACTTGTACCTGGGTGACACACAATTCCTTATTTGGTTAAAACACAGACTAGTGGTGTGTGTTTTCCCTTTATCAGTCTACTATTTTCCAAAGCTGTTTTAAAGAGCACAATGGGATTCAGAGCTTTAGCATTTGTTGCTACAGCAGTGAGGATGGATTTGGCTGAGTTTCACAGAGAGATAAACATGCTGCTGCTGACTTAGATACATAATCAAAGGTTTACATGTGAAGTTTTCAGTTTCCAATAAACAGATTTTTAAAAAGAGGTAGATTAGGTAGATTATATTTAGGAACACTTACCATGAGTATCATGTAAGCATGTTTCATGTTGCAGGTCTCTAATACAAAAGCAGAAGAGTTATCATCACTTGGTACACAAATCTCAGACCTTATGAGTTGAAAGTGTAGTTTTGAGTGAAAATATAGTACAGAAAGCCTAAAAGTGTTGTGATTTATACAACATAAGGAGTACAAGCACCTTGGAAGGTCTCAAAAGGCTCCAAGGCTCCCTTTGTTCCCTAACTGGACAGTAAGAGTTGGAATTTTGGAACCTCTGGGCTCACAGTTAGTGAGAATGCCATTTGCTTGGGTTTTAATTGCAATGAAAAGAGCATGGGAGCCTGCATGAGAAAGATCTTTTAGGGCTTTTGTAAAAAAGTTTGCATTTACTTAAAGAACATTCCCACAGGAATGCCTTTATTCCAGGTTTTTTGGTTTTTTTTTTTTAGCCAAAATAACTCCATGTCTGTCTTGAGGAAATGTGTGCAAAGCACCCACAGTCAGTGACACACTGCCAGATCCCTCCACTGCCATTCTGGCACACTGGAGCCCATCAGCCAAGGCAGCCAGGACCACTTCCCTGAGGGGTAAGCACTGCAGCCACACACCAGCTACTGGACCACAAGGTTCCTCTGCTTGATGTAGAAGAATTAGTATTGCCAAGTAGTTTTATAAAAATACTCAGTATTACCAAGCAGTTTTATAAAAAGGCTGTTGGCTGACTTGTGCTCAAATCTTAATAAGGGGATAGGGCACTAAAGTTAAGAGACTTCTTAATTGCTTTTTAAAAACACAAGTTTATTAGCCTATAGTGTGACTAGAAATGAAAATGAACAGTGCCAGAGTTCAGCCTTAGCAAAACATGGAAGGGATCCCCACTCCAGCCCTTATTTAAAGCAAACACATCCCTCAACATTCTCTTATATTGTGTTGGATCAACCTCTGCATTTTCCTCTTACAGTGTGTGTGAATGGCTGTGGTATGGCAATGGATCCTCTCATGCTGCAGGAGGAGCCCAGGACTTGCAGAGCAACAGGCAGACTGGGTTTTTCAGTGTGCTCTGCCCAGGTACACACGGCAGCCAAAGCTGCAAGGAGAAACTGCTCTTAACTGGGGGAGAAAGCAGCAGTGAGACCAGGCTGTACAGAGTGAAAAGTGGGCAGATGGGCACAGATGAGAGCCACTGCCACTTGGGATTCAGCTTCAGATTTGGGTCCCTGGCTCTGGTGGCATTCCTGGCACCACAGATTTTCATCCTTAGTCTCCATTACTGGAATGTAAATACCCCCCCTTGCTTCACCTCTCCGAATTTTCAGGTGGCTACAGCCAGCAGATCTGCCCTCTGCATCAACACACAGCTGCTCTGGCTGGGGGGGAACTCCCCGGTTAAATGATAAACACGTGCAGTGCAGCTCACCTCCGAGCAATGGGAAGAACACCAAGAAGCCTGCAGTGTTAGAAAGGAACATTTTATTGCAAGAGATTACAAACCTGGCACTATGGCCAAATGTTTCCATTACATCACAATTGCTACCCATGAATCAGGCAACAGCACCTACAAAGCACGGTGGATTGAAATAACAAATTATAATGCAGTCAGCTTTTTAAAGTAAGTACCACCCTAAAAAGTTTGGGGTTTTCTTTAAACAAACTCAAAACTATATAAATCAATTTTTAAAATATGAGACTGGTGTTTAAATATCCAGGCCACTAACTACTGTTATAAAAAGTGAAAAATTCTGTTAACCATAGTGCTGAACTAAACAGGGTTTGTTCACAGCCCATAACCATTTAGTTAAAAGCAAGTCCTTGTTATTCACTGCTAATATTTCCACGTTTGTTCAGCCCAATTTATCTTCTGTAGGTTTTCAGAATCAGCCAGATTTAATGCATAACCCCTCTTTAAAGCACTGCAGGAAACCTAGAACCGTAACTAGCCCAGGAAAAGCATCACACTTAAAATAACATTGCATCTTCCCATCTCAGTCCTGTGACACTGACCTTTAGAAACTCTGGATGCTCTTCTCCGAGCCCCAGTTGGTAACTCATGTTTCTCCTGTGATCACTTACCTCAAACAGCTTGCTGATTTCCCTGAGCATGGCTGGAACAGCAGGAACGAGCACAGGCACACAGCCCGGGACTCACTCACTCCCCCCTCCCCGGCAGCTACGGCCCCTACGGTCAGTCCTGCCCCTGGTCACTCCCTCCCCTGGTCAGTCCCGCCCCTGGTCAGTCCCTCCCGCGGTCAGTCCTGCCCCTGGTCAGTCCTGCCCCCGGTCACTCCCTCCCGCGGTCAGTCCCCCCCTGGTCAGTCCCTCCCCTGGTCAGTCCTGCCCCTGGTCAGTCCCCCCCTGGTCACTCCCTCTCCCGGTCAGTCCCCCCCTGGTCACTCCCTCCCGCGGTCAGTCCCCCCCCTGGTCAGTCCCTCCCCCGGTCAGTCCCCCCCCTGGTCACTCCCTCCCCCGGTCAGTCCGTCCCCTGCCGGCGGGAGGGCGAGCAGCTCACCTGTGACGCTGCTGCCTGCAGAGAGCGGGCCCTGAGGAAGAAGTTGGATCTGCAGGCAGAGCTGGCCCCCTCGGCTCTGGGAGCAGCCCACCTCAAACAGCTCCCCCAGGACACACGGGCAGGACCGGGCAAACCGCAATAAATGCCCAACGTGTGCTGACTGCTCACCCCCATGTTCCATGCCTGAACATAACCACCCCTTGGCAGCAGCTACCATGGGCACTTGCATCACCTACCCAAGGCTCTGCAGAAAAATCTTTTCAATGAATGCAAACAGAGTTTTACTTTAGAGGATTGATTTGGAAATATCACTGGGACTAGGGAATATAGGCCATCATCTTATGAAAAGTGTATGGGGGTGGTCTTCTACAATTTTCCTGAGGCTACTACTAAAGAGACCTTTACCAGATACTAGGATAACTTCAGAAACGAGTAGGACTGTGATAAAGAACCAAAATCAACCCAACAGAAATCCCTGTGCCACTGCAGCCTTTACCCCAACCTGAACAGACTAACTGGTGTTTAGGTGAGCAACTCTGCAAGTCCAGCCCTTTAGCACAGACTGCCAGAGCCCCTCAAGCCACACAACATCAGACTGGCATCACAAAGTGACCCATTTAATTTACCCTCTTCTACTACATTGTTTAGAATTTTGGTAACTCCAGAGAGGGGGATTTATAGTTCCTTGTAGATAATGACAAAAAATATCTCTATTTCCACACAACTGAACCCAGGAAAACAAACAGCCCCACTTGAGGACTAGAGGCTAAGAACAGCTAATAGTACTCTACTTTAAAAAAGATTATTCAGCCTGTATCAACAACATAAACAGTTAATTTAATAATCAGAAGAGTTCTAAAACTCCTACATATTTTTTGAACTATATCACAAGGATCTGATGCCAGCAGGGCACACAGCCTGTCACTGAAAACTGTTCTTCATCAATAGAATCTCATTTTGGAAACTGATCAGCCTAGAGCTCACTGCTCTTCAGACACAACCTTGCATTTTTATTTTAGTATTACATAAAGTAGCTCACAATTAGGGCTTAATTAATTAAATAGAATTAACTAGGGTTTTAAAAATTATTTTAATGAATCTAGTAAGAGTCTTTTGCTAACGCAAAATTCTGCACGGTATGGCTTCACCTTACAAGCATTCTTAACAACACTAGATAAATATCATTTGCACTTAATTGATTTTTTCATTTGCTAAACAGCCATAAAATATGGTGCTCTCACAAGCACCTTTTTTGGTGAGAAGGGTAAACAAGCACTCTATTAAAGCATTATAAACATTCAAGGTGATGTGATCACTTCCCTCTATTCTGTTTCAACACACTGCTTTAAATCTTCAGTTTTCACATCATATAAAAAAGCTCCACAAGTATCCACAAATTCAGAAATTTGTTAGTCTGCATACACTATTTGTTTGCAATACACTTCAACATCCCAGTTATCTTTTCTAAAATCTCTAAAGTATTATTCCTCCAGCCTTTAAATGTAATGATGTAGATCTTTCCACTTACAAGAGAATAAATTTCAACAAGAAAGCTAAACTTAACTGTAGCAATTTGTACAGGTAAACACCTGACACCACTAATTTAATGACAGCCTTGACAGAGCTAGGATGGCCTTGTCTGAGGCCTCTGTCTTGCACAGCTGTGCATTTTTAGCCCATCTATTCTATCAGAACATTAACAAGCCTCATGTGTTGACTCTGAACTCTGTGCATCCAGGAAGACAGACATTTATTCATACTTTCCACCAATCAAATGTAATGCATCTGTGAACAATTCAGTTTATTGCAAGTAAATGTACTTTTACTTAAGATCATGAGAAGATTCTAATCTCAAGCAAGACAAATCAATTCCACAAACTTAATTCACACAATGCAAATAAATGCTTCACATTATAGACATTTATATTTTCTTTAAACCTTTTTATTTAGAGATTTTTCTGGTAAGGAGATATACCATAGGAAAGCAATTTCACTGGCAGTGAGGTATGTATATACTCTACCAAAATACTCCTCTTGCTTTAACTGCTTTTAACTTTATTTACATATAAAGAAAATATCAATGCATATCCTTGGCTTAACTACAGTATCTGTTACCCTATATGAGTAAAATGAAATGTTACTTGCATACAAAATTGATTTGTAGAGGAATCTAATTTGATTTAAACAAAAATCATGTTCTGAAGACAGTTTAAATGAACAAACACAATTCATCATGACCAAGACACCTGCACCATATTTCCATCCTCACAGCACATTTATTTCAATAATTCTGTAAGTAGGTCCTTAGCATGAGCATAGTGTTACAGTTTTCATACATATAATCACATCCAAAACAAGCTCTAAAATTTAAGTTGTAAACATTCTCTTCATATGTGGAAACATTTCAATCTGTGTTTGAATTTTCTAAAATGATCAATCTTTTAAACAGAATTATAAATGAAAAGCCTACTCTAACCGTGTAGTGAGCAATGCTTATTAGTACATTTCTACAGTGTTAAATAAAATAGTAGAGGCAAACTTCTGTAAGCAAGTCAGACTTTAAGTAAATTGTCATAAAAGTAACAAACTTGTTAACAAAAAGATGCTTTGTAATAAAGAAAGTTGGATTGAATCTACTATGATACAAAACATAAGGGTAAATACCATCTTTGTTGACAAGTAGGAGGTAGCATGGATGCACCACTTTATTGTCAGTGAGAAATGCAACTGAAGTAAAGAATATTTCCTTACCACAAATTTCCAGTATTATGTACATATTTCTCTTAGAAATTTGTTTAAACAAGTTTCCCTCCACTTTTTAGTACAAAAAGCCTCATGTGATTTAAAAAAAACACTTACACACCTAGATAGAATAGTACTAATTGCCCTATTTGAACAAAACAGTCTCTTGAACTATGAAGTACATGGTATTTAATGCCCTAAGTTGAGTAAATTGTATTAGCAGTTCTTGGTATTATACAAAACACTACATACATACAAACAAAATATAATAGTATCTTATTTTACTATGTAATTCTTTTTGGAATAAACAGAACCTTGATTTGGGTAACACTGAAGAGAACGTGGTTTCTTTGTTTTATTAAAATCTGTCCTTTAAGTACCCATGTGCAACAATTTAAAAATGGCTGCCATACATATAATGGTCTTGTACTGATAGTGAACACAGTAACTGACAAAAACATAATAAACCTTAAAAACACATCTTCCACCCTATATAAAATATAAAGACTACTTACTGTAACTGTTAAGTATTCAATTTATTATGATGTTACTGTAATCCACTTCCTCTATTTTCTCTCTTTAGCATTTATAAACATAATTTAGTGTAGCCATTTATTTTAAAAAATGATGAAGTATTTCAAATTTACATCCAATTAAAATTTAAAATGTTTCTGTGTTCTATGATGCTGCTTCTGCCATCAGTAAAGAAAATGAAGTTTCAGTAATTGAAGCAGGCTTTTTAAGTAGTGATGTGACCTCAACCATGCCAGCTCCAGTCCGTGGAAGATTTGCGTTGACAATGTGTCGCTGCAAGTGCTTTATCCAGTCTTCTTGAACAGACAAAGGTCCTCGAAAGACCAGACCACAAAACCTATGCAAATATTAAAATTAATCCATCAAGATACATCTATCTCTACTGAAAAATTATAAAACAAAGACAGTAAGAGGAAAAGTCTTAATTTTCTTGAAGTTTGTTTCTACATGTTTTAGCTGAAAAACTTAGTAATTGAGTTCATTAGTACTAACTGTGAGCACAAAACCCTGCAGCTTATACAACTCACATTCTCACACTCAATACCAGTAATAACAATCTGTTTTTCTTATATAAGGTTTCTTTTGAAGTTCAGAATATTACTCAGACACGACCAGTAAGATTTTAGCTAGAGAAACTACTGGCAATCTAACACCCAAGTGTGACTGAATCAAATCCTCTTGTTCAAATTAATGAAAACAGGCAATTCCTTTCCCCTGTCATTATTCAATTTAATCATAAACATTTATGGATAAAATAATGAAACTCTTTATGACTAACATTAGTAAGCTCTTAAGAATGTATTCTGCCAGTTAAAGCAACACTATGTACCTGCATCTGAGTATGTAAACTTCATCAGCACTATGAGGTAACGGCAGCATTTTCTTCTTGCTTCCAGATCTTGACCTTGACTTCTTTTGTTTACAGTCTAAAGCTAAGAAGAGAAATTTTCATATGTGAAAATAATACTTCAATGAGTGTTAGTCAAACAGAGATATTCAGTAAGTATTCCCTATAGCAATAATAAAAAGACATCTACCTCCTTGTTTTTCTGTAGTTAATTACAACGTAAATCCAAAACAATTACAGTGTATTCTAAGAAATATACTGGGAGAACACATGAAGCTGTTTTTTTTAGGTTAGCATTGTGCTTGCTCTTTTAAAGACTAGATAATTGACTTTCAGCATTAAACTGTTGTTTTAGTATCAGCAAGCACCTATAAACCTATTGCAGAATTATACAGAAGCAAAGCACCATTGGAAATTCCCTTTCATGCATAAAACACTGTCAAAATCTCAGAACTTGTTTTGTAGTTCAAGTACCATCATAAGACCACTCATGTTCAACCAAGTTACAACTTTATGAAGTTGTAGCTTTCAGCTAGTACAATCAGGAATTCCTAGTTTGAATAAAACACCTGCCATTTGTTTTCAACACAAAGCAAAAATTTGTCCTTTTGTTCTAAGAGTTTCAAAGGAAGCTTCCCTTTCACTCCTGTCTGAATTCTAATGAGGCATACAAAAACTATGTATTAGTCCTTGGCAGTGGGAGCTGGTATTAGGACAATCAACAGGGATGGCAAGGCCCCTTTTTAAATTCAGTCTAAGCATTTGAAACTGCATATGAAAATAACGTGTGTGAATAGGAAACATAGCAAATGAGTTCAGACAGCTCTGAGGTCTGCATCTCCCATAAACAAATGTAATGGGAATCTGAGACAAAACCTGGAGATTCTAAGAAGCAGCCAAAGTGGGGGATGAGTGGATTAAACTGAATTAATATTGTTATGATGCGAACAGCTGATAAAGCTCAAGAAGTTTGTGACTGCTTGAACTGAGAAGTGTATCTAGCTACACTCTATTCCAAAACACAAGACACCAACAATGTAAATCCAACACAAAAACTTTTGCAAACAACCAGTTACACCACTTCAACAAAAACTCCACAGAAACCAGAAAGACAGTACCAGGTGGTATTCTTGATACCAAGAAGGCATAATGCTATGCTACTGAAGCATCTTAACAGTAAAATGAGGAAAAAAATTGTTACACTTGGCTTAAGTTTTGACTCCTAGAATATGAAACAGAAGAATTAACCTCTTAGCATTCTGAAGCATAAGACATTGTCTGGTGAGGTAAAACATGTTGATTTAAAGAACACACAGTCTTGACTGTATCCTTAATTTTTCTCATGCCCTCCAAATGAGCACCTCTCAAGCTTTTACCTTGTAGCCCAACTTTCAACTTGGTAGACATACTAGACATTTTCCAGTTCTATCCCCGGCTTAAGGATTCCTACCTATCTAAAATTTAGAATGAATATCTAAGGTTTGAAGGTATCAGAGAACCAATAAAATAAGTGGAAACACGACACCAACCTAGAGAGACTTCCTCAGATCAACATTAGGAAAATGAGGCTTAACAGCATTTTTTTTCTGACAGCAACAACAAAACTAGTCTGCATAAAAAGGCAGTAACCCAAGGTGGCAGGGGGGACAGAGAGAGAGAAATTGCCAAGATGCTTCTGGAAAAGCATCAAGCGGTTCTTAATACTTCATTCTCTCACAAGAAACATATTCTTCATTTAATTAGGAAGAAAAAAGCTAACTATCATATCAGGTAGGAACTACCACATATATGTGTTTTACATACCACAACTTCAGTAACACCATCAGCAATGCAAGCAGATAAAACACTGGAACTCAGACACCCATGCTTTGAAGAGAACTGTTTGTATGAGGCACAACTTATCTGCAGCAATTACTGCAGCAAAAGCTCTGCCTTTGCCATCTTCTGGAACATCATGGGGAGAAGGGAAACAGAAGCTGGTATTACCTGAATGCAAACATGTCCATGAGCTGCACCTGATAAGTTAGTTGATGTCAGTTTATATGAGTGGAAAAAAAAGAAGCAATAGTGACAACAGACTCCTCCTAGAGAGGGCAAACTGCACTTGGAACAAGAACTTGCTGATTTCCTTGATGTTGGCAAAGACATTCATTCTCATCAAGAAATTTGATTCTACTCACATGCATCTGGAGCATTTCAGAGAGCTTTCCCTTTCCTACAAGACCTGGGTTGGTATTCTGCAACAGATTGCTGACACTGATGGGTTTGTGTGTGTATGTGTATAATCTTCTAAGAAAAAAACCCCTCTGAACTACTGTGCAATCAAACAACAGCAACACTGACAGAAATTGCCATAATGAACCAGGAGAGGCAGTTTCTACTTCCTTGAAAGGTACCTTTTCTATGAACAGTGAGAAAACAAGGAAAACAAAAGCAAGGGCATGTTCTTTCAGCTATTTATGATGGAGACTCTATATAAGGAAATTATAAAACAAAGAGAAGAAAATACCACAGTAAAAGACCACAAAAAAGGACTCAGATTACGCTATGAATTCTCAGAGCAACTTAGCTAAATTTGAAAGTAGATCTGCCCAAGGAAGAAGCAGTTATAAAAGACAGAAAACACTAACAACACAAATCCTGTGTTCTGCAAGGGTCATTTTTTTCCCTTTGTCTTCTGAGATAGTGAACATATTCTTTTACATTTTAGGGAACTCAAAGCAGCACCAGCATGTTTTGAAGTTACTCCAGTGAAGATGGAAAGTGAGTGAAGAAGGAGGAATATCTGAGTAAAGCTCATTGAAAACTACAATTCAAACAGCAGTTATGAGGCATGTGTACCAGTAGCCATCACATTAATTTCATTTTGTCTATCCAGAGAACAACAAGTTTAAATAAAGTCACATGCACACACTTGAGTACTCTGTTGATACAATGCTTACAAGAAGTTGCAAACATTAACTAAATCACACAATTGCCTTAGCCATTGCCTCCCCATAAAGTAGCCATGTTCCGACCAAAACTCAGTTCCTGCTTTTTCTATGCCTTTACTGTAACAAAACATGACCTCCTCAGAAAGTCTTTTATCATGTCTGGGAAGAGACCAAGGATAAATTAGGTCTAGTAAACTGCATGGAAACTGCAGCAAATTGCTATAGAGAGGTAGGAACTACTGATCATTAACAGCTACTCTGTAGTTATCACAGCTTCCAAACTATCATTCCTCATTCTCCATAAAGGCCTACTTCTTTTTGGAAGAACTCTCTTTCTTTCAAGTTTGGCCACCTGGTGTTTCCTAGCTGATAACTGAAAAACCTCTTGTAAACAACCAGTCACACAACATCCTCAAACTGCCGATACAACATGGTGGAGAAACAATCCATTTAAAACAAATGACTATCAAACTTTGGAGGATCCTACTTGAGGTACTTACGTACAATTTCAGAGCACACTACTTTGAAAAATATATGCTAGGTAAAAGCTCTGCATACAAAAACCTCTGTGATGACTTATCAAAAAAGACTACAAGCAGATGGACATAGGAGGTTCCAATGAGCATGCCTAAGTGAACTAGACAGGTCACAATTAGATGTCCTTTCATGCCGTGACATTTGGTCTGCAGTTCCAAATTACACTGCTCTGTTTCCTGATGTCGCCAACATGAAATGCTTCTTATTTCAGGAAAACTGAAGCTGGGTCTTTTATTTGGACTTCATTGCTTTTGTCGAAGTGTACATAAGCTAAAACAAGTTGAATAATTTGACGCAGAAATGGAACTAAATAAACATTTGAAAACACTGCCAAGTGAAAAATAATGAACTATCTTGTACATTTAGTCACTAACTTTTCAAATTCAATCACTTGCTATCTATCCTCATCACTACTGCACAGTGAAGTACATTAAATAAACCCCTCCTATCATTTGCTCTCTGTAGGATTTTATAAGATGCTGAAAATGAGCTCATCATGCCAGTTGATTCATTATGACTGTAACAGCACAGAACAATGACACGCAAAGCCAGGGGATCTCAGATTCCTGCATACTTGATATGCTTCCACCACAAACATCCCAAAGCTACAAGTTTGACAAAACAACATTTGAAATTATTTGAACGCGTAGCAGCCCTCATGAACCACTACCTCAGTCACACTGTTGGCTTGAAGGCCAGACTCCTTGCTCTGTACTTTACTGTTCCCTCCCAAACTTCTGACAGAGCAGTCTCCACCTATAGAAGCAGAGACCAAAGAAGAAAGTGGTGATTCCCAGAAGATGAAAGCCAGTAAGAAAAGACTGAGTATGTGAAAAGGGTCAACAAAGAGAAGATGTAAAAAGCCAGGGTGCAAGAAAGAATCAAGAGACTTGGGGAGAGCCAGGGCAGGAGGGAGCAAGAGAAGCCCAGAGAGAAAAAAAGAAAGGAAGCCGAATATACAACTATACGAAGAAGAGCGAGATGCATTTTGAAGATTTTGTGTAGGTTTGTTCAATGCTCTAAAGATACTCAGAAGAAAGAAGCAAGTTGACCACTTGCTCTGAGAAACACCAATGTGTTGCTATACATCAAAATAGGTATAAAAGGAAATTTAACATCTATTCAAGATGAGCAATTACATTGTTAAAAATTGGACTGAATAACAACAACAAAAAAAGTTCCAGCCATACATCTGAAGACACAGGTATTTGCTTTACAGTGGATCTATAATGCATTGGTATAGGCACAAATAAAGTTTAATAAAGATTAACCTCAAACAGCCAACAGCCTAGGAACTTTCACTTCTAGGATGTTTTTCTTCAGTCCATTCTCCAAAGCTACCATTATGCTTAACCATGTCTACTATATATGCTAAAACTGTAGAGTTGCATTTGAAAAGAAAAATAGGCTAAGATTTAACTAAATATGATGACATTACTGACTGAAGAAGTAGGACACCTGCTGGAAGAGCAACACGGTAACAGTCAATATCAAAAACACGTGCAGACAAATGGAAAATCTGAGACTAGTACATAAGCTAATGTAATACTGGGAAAGGCCTCACTTTGGTGGCATGCAGGGATCTTGCATTTCTCATGTTATTTCTCCTAATAAATGGTAGTGCCTAGACAGGTCCCATATCAACTGCCAGATAATCAAAGTGTTCATGTTTTGACACCATTATTTTGTTACAGGAAGAAACAGAGATAATTATTCAACTGATGTGATTTATTTTTGGTAGTTATGTTTGCTTTAAGAAGATATAAGAAAGGCTTAATGAGAAGCAACATGTATAAACATGTCCTCAATGTCTCCATACAATGGTTGAAGATCATTAAAGGTTTAGCTGCGGCTGAGGCCCAACTGAAGACATCTCAAAATTGCTCTCAACCACAACCATCTTTTAGTAAGATAAACCTGAGATCTACTCAAGAGCAACACTCATAACAAGACTGTACTTCTATGTGCTTTAAAACTAGTGTCTACTAGTGAAATCTTGCATTAAAATAATTCTCTTCACAAAACTTGTATTATAAAGTGGAATATCAAACAGAACAACTGTTTAAAGTGTGTTTTTTGATCTACAAGCCTTGCATTAAGCTTGCTTGAGTGAGAAGTCACTGAGCAAAGCTTACAACCTTCACAGAGTTGCAGGAGAGTAATGACTATGCTGCTATAGATACACATTGGTTGCATGATGTTACAGCTAGAACTCAACACTGACTCCTTAAGTCAGTGGTTCCAGCGACAGGCCTTTATCCATGGTATAAGTTATTTATCTGGCTTAGCTCCAGCTTCTGAGAGCAAAAAAATTTTTTTCCCAAACTTTTGTTTCTAACCTTTTATTTAAACCTTGTTTCTAACCCCATTTTGTTTCCAATCTGATTCAAAACCAACTTCTAGGTCCAATGATAGAAGACTCATGAGTTTTCTTTCCATTCTTTTAAGAAAAGTGGCATCTGTTCTGATGACTATGCAACTACTTGACTAGCAAAATACGTTTCTTAGAGAAAACAAACAAAAATCCCTGAAAGTACCTAAACCAGCTTCCTTCACTTTTCCCACTTAGCAAAAGGGAAGCTAGGTACAAAGTGCTTGTCTAGGATTCAATCTCTGTAGTATCCTATTTGCCAGTGTCTCCTTCATTGATTTACTGTTATTAATGTGCAATTTAAATATATAGCTATTGAAAAATACTTCCTCAGTAAGTCTATAAGAAAAGGAATTTACCACAGGACTAAGATCAAATCACAGCAGTGGTAAATGAAGTTCACTACTGTCAGCCTTCTACTGAATAAATATGAAAATTTTCAGAATCACTGACTAAAGGCATATTCTTCTACATGTTAGGTAATACTGCATCTGCTGACTTCCTTCCAAATCTGCTTTGTTACGGCACTAATGTAAAGGAACAGAAGACCTGGCAGCCACAGGCCTGTGTTACAAAAATATTACTTTCAGCCTTCTACAGAGTAAGCCTGCTACTCAGTTTGCCATTCTTAGCATAATGAATTACATTTGCAGATCAAAAAAGGATTACACATTTTCCAAGAGCATTATGTAAAAGTCTGTGTTTGTTGACACAGAAAACTGATGGTTGCCCTTCTTAATTACAGAATATTTCAGGCTTCATATCTCCAAATTCTCCTCATTATATTGCATCTCTGCTCCTCAATTTGCTGTTGACCATGTGAAGTCCCATTAATCTCAGCAATAATCCAAGTAAACTCAGAAACTGCCTACAGCCAAGCAAGCTGCAGGTCTCTGAAAACAAATCAAAATATGGCATATTAGAAGAATTTCAAAATGAAGTGTGTTTTAATAAAAAGCATTAATAGCAGTGCCAAATGCTACTGTACTACCCTCACTCAATGTCAGAGCAGGTAGTTTTTGGATTCTGAGCCAAATAAGATATGAAACCAACTGCATATCATATATTGTTAGAAATATACAGAGTGTAAAATGACTTGCTTTTCCATTTTACTGAAGTATTCTTTGTAACTGTATGTACTAGACAGTAAAAACTACTTGTTGTATCGTTGCCTTTTTCCTCCCCACCGCTCTCATTTCTGAGATACTTTGAAACACTTCATTTGAAGGCCAACTATCTGGTTTGGAAGTTGTGATATCATAGGAGAATGAATTTAAGCAACCATCTCTTAGTTTTGCTTACATACCTTAAATGTTGGATCCAAAATCAAAGACTAAGAATGAAAATCAGACATGAGAGTGGACAACAGCAACATACGTTTTCTTACAAGTTGCTGAAGTTTTATGGCAAATAAATTCTTTACCAGCAAAAGCTTCAAAATTATTTTGAATTAACATATGCTTTTGTCCAGTCTGATGAAGAAAATGTATCATAGACAGACTTGCTTTTACATCTGTAACAAAACATACCTGTCCCAGTCAAAAGTCCAGCACTCTTCTTTCGTGCATAAGCGCGTAAGTGGTTGGACAGGCTAACAGCACTTGTAAACGTCGTATTGCAATGCACACACGTTCTAAGCTTCACAGGCATACCTATCATTCAAAAGAAAACTATAATCCAGTTCTCTCTTCAAAAAATGAAATTCTCAAAGCGTTGTAAAAAGTTTTCTGCAATAAAGATGGTTTAAAATATATTCACTGCATTGACGCAATTGTTTAGTATATTAGAAGGATCCAAGTTAACAGTTATTAGTTTTCCACCTAGTGCTTTAAGCCAAACCATGTTATTTGAAAAAGAACAGAAAGGAGGCAACTTGAGCCCAGTAGGCTACTCTGCATTTAATACCTACTACCAAGCTCCTACAGATCTCCACATAAAGAAACTCTAATTCCAAAATACAATCCTGCAATATGAATAGCACAATTCTGTTGAGAAATTTCAGAGTTTCCAGAATTTCCAATAAAGAGAATTTGAAAAGTCAAGTTGACAAAGTGGTAATTAAAAGTGTTTTACCCATAAGACTAAAGCACTCAATACTAAAATTAGGCTGCTGTTGAAGGCTCAGAGAAAACGTGGTAAAACAAACCACTGAACAGCTGCTAGGCAAAACATTTTGTTCAGTGCATTTTCTATTCATTACTTTAGATGCACAATTGATAATGAAAGTAAATGATTTGAAGTTTTTTTTTGCTAAAATCTTTGTGCTAAATAAATATCAACAAAATAACATGCTATTTATCACAGAAAACAATGAAACAATACTGACCTCCTCATTTACAGACAAAGAAACCATTATAACTTATCTCCTGCTCAACTTCACCATATTTCTCCCTGTATTTTACCAAAGATATATTGTTTTGGTGAACTAATATTTCAGGTTCTCTACTAATAAATTATTAGAAGAATAAATGAAAAGCTACTACTCAGCTGAAAAGTCTCTGCAGGAAAGAAAGAATGCTATTCTCCAGCAGCCCACAGAAGACATGCTGTTTTTTCAGGCAAGTTACAAAAGAAGACCACCAGATTGGTAAAAGCCTTTATAAAACTAAAACCAGAATTAGGAATATTTGCCTTTTTTAGGAAAAAAAAGAAGATTTTCAACTTGATGTTAAATATTTTCTTATTAACTCAACTGGCACAGTGCATTAGTTATCAAATTCTGTTACCTCAGCCACAGAAAACTATCGGGCTCCATTCAGAACTGTTAGTACTATGCGAGCATATGTTTATTTTTACTTGGTTGTTCATCATAACCAAACGGGTTCTACCTAGTATTGAGCAGTAAATATTACACAGAAAGCAAAACACAGTGTCAGGTTTGGCAAACTATTCTTGAGCATTATTTTTCAAATCATTAAACCTGTCAAAGATACACTTCCTTTATTAAGCAATCTCCTGTCTTAAGGGACAACCACAGACGTACAGAAGATGTAAAATCGTAAAATGTAATTCTTTTCCACTTCTACTATGTCATTTTAGAAAGCCGCCCTTCTTAAGAAATTTATTGCCACACTTTTATAGCCCCTAAAAGAACTTCTGAGCGCATCAGATTGTTAGGGTTTTTTGTTTAAAGAAAGAAAAGAATACAGGTGAAAAAGTACTAGGCACTGCCAGTTTTACAAACCTAGTTAATAACAAGAAAAGAAACAGCACAAAAAAAGTCAGGGGTATAAAAATAAGATCCTGCTCTCCAGTCTTGAGAATCCTGCAGCATTGGTGGTGTCCAACCAAGAAACCGGTAAATGCAAGCTCTACATACACATTAAAAAGGATGTTGTAAGAGTTCCCCAAGACTAGAAATAATTCTCATGTGACAAGTAAGTTAAAAACATCACCCTAAAAGCCTGCTCTATTAGTATACAGAGTAGCTAGGAAGTTGATTGTAGAATTGTTTCATTAGCACAATTCTCAGTGGAGGGACAATCTAGGTCCTTATTGGTCAGAGGCCGTGCACTGGAAACCTGCTGGCTACAACTGTATGCCAGCAAAGCTTGAACCAGCACAGGTTGTCACTCAGGATCGACAGGCCCTAAGCAAGCATGAGTTTCTCACAGCAGCCACAATTTGCAACAAACAAGAATTAATCTATGTTGTAAGAGTATGTTTGCCTAAACCCATGAAAATTAGTGATTTACCAATGCAGTATTATGCATTTATAATGGGATCAACAGTTCTGTTAGTTTGAGCAAATGCTGCCTTGCACAAACCTTGAAAACTTAAATGCAGTATTCCTAAACCAGCTGTTTTACTGCCCAAAAACAGGGTTGCAAGCCCAAACATTTCAGAACTGTTAGTCTACCAAATATGCATAGACACTTCAACTTGTTTACTGCAGGATGTGTCTTCTTCCTTACTGAGGCTCACTTTGTGTCCACTTTCAATTTGCATGCCCAGGCATATGCAGAACAGGAACTATATTCCATGCAAAAACCCTTCAGTGCTGCTGAGGGGTTTTTTCGCTTTAGGAAAAACAAGTCAGAAAAATTTGCTGTGCTACCTCTCGCAGTCAAGTGTCCTCTGGAAATGAAACAAGAATTAAATGAAGAGAATCCCAAATAAAATACTCTGCACTTGTACATTTTCTATGAATTATATTACTTTTTTGGAAATGTTGTCAAGAAACACCTTCTTACCTGACTGCATAGTCAAGTCCATTTTTTGTGGCTGATACATCAATGGACTGTCTTCATTTAATGGAAGAACACATTTCTGAACAAACCTCTTTCTTGCAGTTTGATTATGAATCTTTTGAGGGGAAATATCAGGATTCCTCTCTTCTCCTAACCTCTTGTTTTTCAGGAGTTCTATCAGTGTAAGTGACTGATTTCTTTTTTCATCATGCAGTACTGCTTTTGTTTCATCACATTCATTTAGGAAACTCAGCCCTTCTTCCTCCGATGCAGACACAGATATATCTTCAGTCTTTAAGCCATTATGGTATGCTTCAAGAGGTATAACATTCTGAGATAAAAAGTCATCATTTGATGCAAATTTCTGAGCAACAAATGGTCTGGGAATAATACGGCGACTGTTCAAAGCCTTTAGGATTTTTTCATACTTCTCTTCATTTTGCATCATCTCATTCAGAACACAGATGGGAGACTTGTGTGCATCCCACTTGGTTTTGCCAAGCCTCTTCAGGTGTCCTCGCACATGATTAGACAATCCAATTTTAGTATCGAACCAGCCACCACACAGCTGACATGTATGCTCAGAGGAAGTTTCAGATTTCTCAATCGCTACAAAGAAAATAATTACAATGTTTTTTGACAATTATATATAGTTAAACATGACAACTGCAAATCACAAGAAGAGAGGCTTGACAAGAACCTAAAGCAAGCCTTGTTCAGTGCTCAATAAATCCCTTTGTCCACCCAACTTCGTACCCACATAAAAAACCAAATCTTACCTTTTCTAACACGTTTAACTGGAGTCCCTGTTCCAGCTCTTTTAAAATGCTGCATTTTGTCACTTGTTGCTATTTGTTCTGGTGAAACAACATGACGGGCTTCGTAGCTTAGTCCAGCTCTGTGAAGATGTCCTCTGACATGATTGGACAAACCAACACCTGTTTCAAAGGTTGCTGGACAATATGGGCACGATTTCTTTTCAAGCGACAAATCAGTCCAGTGGAAAACTGAATTATGCTTTGGCAATGCTGATCCTACATTTTCTAAATTCTGAGGATCATGCAAATCATGCAAGAAGTTACTACCCTCAGCATCTTCGTAATACTCAAAATAAAAGCCATCATTCTGCTCATAACCAAGTGAAGATCTATCACCAGCTTCATTATCTTCCATTTTACCTTTGAATATGGGGAATAGGTTTACATGCTCCTGATTAATATCACTGTAAGATTCATCCTCCACAGACTGTGTAGTGTAATCACATAGTTCAACATTATCCCATGAACTTTCATCCTCCGTTTCATAGCTGTCTTTTTTTTCAGCAGAGTTTAGTTTCTGTAAAACAACAACAGTCATTTTATGCAGAAAATCTGGATAGCAATCCAAATCATCTCCTGTAACAGAGCCTTCCCTCTTGGATTCTTTAACCACTCTTTTTACAGCTACATGCCTATGATCTTTACAGCCTTCTGCCCTTTTGCAATCAAGGCTATTTGAATCCATGACAAAACAATCATTACTTGGTGAAGAAAATAAATGTAAAGCACTGACAGATTTGGACTCTTCCTTTTTTAAATGCAAAGGGTAAGAGTCACTAGATTTTTTAATAATCCTGTAGTTTTCATATTTGTGTCTATATAAATTACTTTTTTTGGCACTAGCTTTCTGCTTTGCTGCTTGATGAAAACATTTACGTTTTTGGTCAATGCTATTTCTAATAAAAAAGTTCTTGTTTGTAGAATTTAGATTGCACACACTTACAGATGACTGTGAAACGCTTTTCCGAGCCTTCTGTATCCTGTAGGGTCTCTTGTGAAGTTTTGCGAAGTTACTGGATTGTGAAGTAGAGCCAAATGATCTTTTTACATCCTGTTTTAAAGCAGAGTTCTTTGGAAAAGTAGAAGAATGTTTGATCAACTGTTTTGTCCTGCTACGAAAATCTAAAGATTCTTCTATTATACTGCCTTTTCTTTTCTCTTGTCTAAGATGGCTACCAAAGGGATCAAGGCATGATCCTGAATGCAAATATGCCATGTGTTTTTTTAAAATGCTTCTAGCTGAAGTAGCAAATGGACACAGCTTACACATATAGGTCGATGACTTTCTTGAGGATCCTAAATAAGGATCTTTCAAGGATGCCTTTTTCTGAGTTTTTCTCTGGGACAAGTCACTACCAATAATTGAACATTTGACTACTGCTCCATGAGCGATCCCTCGATGGCATTCCAGTTCATTTTCTGTCACAGCCATGAAATTGCATTCCTCACAACAGTAATATCTTTTATCTTTTTCATGGGTCTTTGCATGCTGCACAAACGTTTTGGGACAATTGGTACCAAATACACACTGTGGGCATTGTAACCGTGCACTCCTACCCTCATCCTGAAGTTCTTTCAGCTCACGGATTTCTTCCATCAGTTTCTGCCTTCTTTCCTGGTGAATTATCATATGTTTAAGAAGGGAATTACGATCTCGGAATGTCCTTCCGCATTCCCTACACGCATAGGGCCTGGGGACATTGAGATGCCGGAAATGACTGTTCCCATCTAAATGGTACATCATATGCCTATGCAGATGTTTCTTCTCTCTAAAATTCACATTGCACTTTGTACAGGGATAAAACGATGGTTCATCAGTACTGAAAGTAGATGGTGGTTCAGAATCATTCTCTTCACATTTGTTTTTCAAAGTATTGGATAGAAAAGTGCTAGTGTGAACAGGAGAAGTATCTTCTGCACAGTTACTAGTGGGACTATAAATGAGCTGCTGGATACCATCAACAGTTTCCAGCTCTTCATCTGTAGATTCAGGCTTTACTTTACTCAACGAGTATTTCTGTGGTTCTACTATTTGTAGCTCCTCATTCTGCTCTAAGAATTCAACATTTAACAGTTTTGATTTACTAGGAATACAACTGGTATCATCAAAACAGTCTTCAGTATAGCGTGTTATTTTACTAACATCCATTTTCCTTTTTCGCTTCTTTTCTAGCCCTACCTTACAGTGAATGGGAGACTTCTCTATTGTTTCTTCATTAGTCATAAGAAACTGTATAAACTCTTTCTGTGGATCCCAGCTGGGATCACATCCCGATCCAAAGCCACCTGTACCTGAGGAAATGCTTGTTAATGTATCGACACAATCATCTTTTAATAGTAAATTTTTATCATCCTCACAAACTTCTACTTGGTCTACTAAAGTGCTATCTACACTATTTCCTACTGTTTTCTGTGAATCACAACCAATTGAAGCAGAGGTAGGTAGATTTTTAATGGAATGAGTCAGGTTCTTAGCATGTGCTACATCAGGTAACAAAAATAAAACCTGGTGCTGATTGGATTTCTGTGTTGTACTCTTCGCAGGCAGCTGCAGATCATGAACCACTGTCAAAGTTGAGCAGGAATCTGCAAGATGACCTCCAGGCTGTCCAGTGGTTAATGAAACGCTGCCTTTATTCATAATGGAAGTCTTTGTTGAGGTGGAGTGTGAAACTGGTCCATTAACAGCAGTTCCTCTAGACAACATAAAGTTTTCACTAGAAACAGTAGGAGCACCAGTGTGTATAAATAGAGAAGCCTGGCCTCCACTTAAGGCTTTTTCAGATCTGTCCCTTGACAGCTCCTCAGTCAGAGTCAATGTATTGTTCTGAAATGATGTGTCACTCTCTTCTGGTTTGGGAATGCCACCTTCTTCCTCAGATACAAAATTATCATCACATAGGATTTCTTCTTCTTTAGCACCAGTGACTTCGGTATTTGTCTCTAAATCATCCATATTGCTGGTCTGTCCATTAAGTACATTTACACTAAAAAAAAACAAGAAAAAATCAGGCAATAGCAGAAATAAATAATGACAACTTTAATTTAGAGCTTTTCTTCAGGATCACTCTTCACACTGTAATCTAAAAAGATGTTTTGAACTTGTCAAAAATCTACTTTTCATTTAGGATATCCAGAATATTTATAGTGAACCAATGAAGAAAGAAAAAAACCCACTCTTTTTTTGCTATGCAATATTAATAACCATACAGCAAACTAGTCACTGCCAAATATCCCAGTTCAAAGAAACCTGAGACCTACACACAAGCAAGATAGGGAAAATCAGATTGCCAAAACAAAAGCAAATGCATTCTATATGTACATAAATATAGATTATCTTCAGTTGTTCTCCAGAAGTAGAAGTAAGCAGTAAAGGCTACCCAGACATCTACTAGCAATTCTGGTTTTTGTTTTTTTTAAACATACTTTCTTTAGGAAACTAAAACAGTCTTTACATTTCTCAAGGTAGCACTTTTTTTGAAGTACTTCCATACAACTGACCTGATGCTGCATGGAAGCCTGCAGAAGGGAAAAACACAATGAAGCTGATTTTGAGTATCTGATTAGTGACAGAGACACAGCAAAGATCAAACTCATTGAGGAAACTAGATGTCTTCCTATTCCCTTCTTAGAAAAGAACCCTCATTGCTTTAAAACAAATAAATCCCATTTGCTTATAAGGCTATTTTAAATGATAAGCATATTAAACAACATTTTATCAAAGGTGGGGGAAAAATACTGTAAGAACAAAACATTGCATTAGGATCTACCTACCAGATGAAGTCACTGTGTTGAATCCAGAGCATGACACTAACAATATCTTCCAGTACAGAGAACTACTGCATATTAATTCCCCATGGGTGGCCTTGTCTTTCTACAAGTGACTCTTACTCATACATCTAATCATCTATTCAATGCTTAGTGAGCACAAAGGAGCTGCCTACACATGAAAATCGATGTGTGACCAACAGAAATGTAAACTTTACTCTACCCTGGCATTCACTTTTTATACAGGTCCCAGAACACATAAGTGAGCATAAGGCATTAAAACATCTTGGAGTCAGGACATCTATATTTTACAAAAATCACATATTTTACCCTTAGAGAGTATTACTCACTTTGATCTTTTGTGGGATTTGATTCCTGCAATCACATAGTTTCAGTTACTAATTAACATTTTGAATGGAACTCAGTTAAAAGGAGTTATTACCTAGACTCTTTGAATTAAGATGTTATAACTCACAACTAATATCCATGGCTTCCTGCAATGGTCCTTTATCGAAGTCCAGGAAGACCACTTTGGACATCCTTTTTTCCTAAGGAGAGAAAACAACCTAGTTAAACGATTTTCATCTCCAAATATAACATTTTAAAGTATGTCCAGTATTTTAAACTCAACAGAATGACAGCTATCCACACAATTCAAAGCTAAGTACAACTTCACAGAAATTCTCTTTTATTGCACTTGTTTTGTTTCAAATCAGCAAAAGGACAAAACAATTATTTAACCTCTTCTGAGTTTGTAAAAAACAAACCCTAATGTAAGGTAACTTACTTTTGCAGATGAAAGTAATTCTATTTGGAGCAGAAATACAATGAAAAATTAAGTCATTAAAAAAGTATTTCCCTTGCTACTCCACCACTGAACTAGCCAATTTAGAAATACAGCAATGCTCACATCAGAGGCATAATAAATGTTTGAAGTGTGTGAAATATTTTATTGTATTATTATCTGTAACATACCTTTACGCACATGTTCTACTGGACACCCGGTTCCTCATCTTGCCAAAAAATCTTCTTAGATTTTTTTTCTTTGCTTTGCTGTTTTGAGATGGGTTATTTTTCACTATAATAACGACTTCCAATAAGATCACATCCAAAGCTACCACCCTAAAATGGTGATAATGCACCACCCAGCAGGAGTCTTTACATCACCTTGGTAAGTTAGAAATGGGCAGTGCAAACATGTGCTAAGAATCAGTAATGCAAAAGTCAATTAAAAGAAGTGAAGCCTACAATGATGCACAACAGCTCCAGCAATTTTGTAACTCAAAAATGTAGGCTTCATATAGTATCAGGCAGCAAGGTATAAAACTGTTCACAAAACCTTGGTAAGAATTTGAGTAAGCCAATTTTGCCTGGAAGATGTGTGTTTTCCTTGGTTTATTGCTGCAGAAGCAGACAAAAGCCTGCTCAGTCTATCTGAGAGCCTGTATTAGCTTTGCTCAACAGGAAGCAACGTTGCTAACAAAGTGGTAAATTCAGTGTTAATGAGTGGCTTCACTGTTACCACCTCTGAGGTAAAACCTTCCATGTTCCAAGTTCCACCCATCTGTTCTGGTGTGAGGGGTTCAGAGGAAGAACAGACGCTTCCCATTCAAAGCAACTTCAGCGGTACCCCCGAACAGCGGGGAGGCAGACTGAGAATACTGTGCTGCTTGGAGCCTGCAATCCTCATTATCAGAATGGCTCCTCAAAACTGCTCACAGGTTTACAAGATGAAGACAAAATTATGTCGCTCTACATACAAAATCATACTGCTAATGAATATTAGTATTAAAGCTGAAGTTAAGAAAGTGGCTAAGACACCCCGTGGTCACCATTAAACTGAAATTCTCCTCAGAGTTACTAGAGATATCTAAAGCATTACCTAATGCAATCTTGTAAGAGACTCCTCTCCATACTGTGTATTTATGGAGATTGGGAACTATTCCATATGGGTATGATTAGAAGTCTTCTGTGGTAAAACAGGTAGCCCTACAGATTTCAGTCTTTGAATCAACCCTGAAATGCTTACTGAATCAATAATATCACTATTACATTTTAATAATTTTCAGCTAATTATCACTTTTATTCTTATCATCATGTATTATTATTTTTCCAGCTATCAAGTTGGTACAATTCACTATTTTTTGTGCAGGACAACAACAATAAAGTTAACAGTTTTAACAGTGTGGCATTAGAGAAAACAGAAAATGTACTTTTAAATTGTAATAATTTGGTCTTGTGATAACACTGAACTAAGATGCAATAATTCAGTTACATTATCTACTCCACATGTCAGAATTTATGCAGTAACAATGACAGGTATAACTAAAGACACAATGCCATGTTTCTTGAGGAAATGTTATCATCTAACCTGTCTCTCAGGGAAAAAAAGAAAAATTATTCATTGTAACTAAGATGTAACCAAGGCTATGCAATACACTTTGCATGCTTCCATCAGAGTTTTAAAATTATCTTCTCTATAACATATGAGGAATGCAAAATTATTGTGTATTTGAAAAATTAAAAATTGAGATCAAACTTTCAATTTGTTGAAAGTACTGCTTATCATATCCACTACCAGGACTATATTACCTCAACTAAATGTTTGAACTAAGTTTTATTTAAGCATCTAGTGCAATATACCTAGGAGATACATACATGTAAAAATGGTGATGGAAAGTGTCTGGAAAAGCCTACACAAGTATACACAATTCCAGCTCCTACCTTTGAAACACACTTTATCTAAAGGCTAGGTTGAATTCAATTATTTAAATTCAATTATTCAGTTCAATTCAATTAGTTCAGTTAAGCCTAAGAATAACTGCAATACACTTAACAGTGTTATTCTTGGTTTACATGCTATGCTATTTACTATACAGAAATTGTTTCATATTCAAAAGTAGAAAGAAACCAATTATTTATTCAGCTAAGCCACACTCCACTCTCTATTAATTGATTTGAAATCTACCTATTTTAAAATACTGGTTTTATTCATAAAGTATCAGTTTTAAAAATCATAATGTGTTCTGCAGATATGACTGCCTGTGGCCAGACAGTCCAAGCATTAAAAAAGTGTAAGGTCAGATCTATCTTCAAGCTGACAGATCATAATTTAAATGCCTTAAGCTAATCTTATTGTCTCAAAAAATCTTGAACATCAGTATTTTTGCAAACTATCAGCACTTGCTATAACACCCTTACTACACTACATCTTGAGGTTACTACAGAAGAAATGAGGTGATAATTGCATATTAACATAATTATTTGGTAATCCCTCCAAGCAGGCTTCCTAGGTCACTCAGTAATTCAGATTAGACGCAACCTTCCTGTCATCAGATCTATGCTGTCCACTTTCTGTTCATTAATAATTCTTTTTGATAGGAATGTACTTAAATCCATTGTTCTATGTACATTATTAATTGTATTTATGACCAGTAGGTTTATGACCTTTCCAAGTTCTTATTTCATAACTACAACCTTTACTATGCAGTAGGGTCACACACCAAATGAGGAGCACTGCCTTCATGCAATGCTAGCTCAGTAAAGCTTACACCTCAGTGCAAGCCCAGCGTCATTTCATAGGGATTTACAATAAATTTGAAAGCACACTGGAGCCAAAAATTAGGACAGAAGAATTTGGCTGAGTTTGTGAAAAGCATTTAGTGCCTTTCTGTGTTCTGATATCAAGTTTCTCACTAAATTCATAAATGTGAGCCAATGAGTTAAAAGCACAGAGCAACTATTAAGCAGCACAAACACTTAGAAGCCATCTCCTAAATGGTTTGAATTTCATCAGCCTAGTTAAAGAAACTGAAGAAATCCAATGTCTTTCAGCAGTGCTGTAACAAAGGCAAAAACATACTTGTCCTGTGCTAAATAACTCCTCATAAGTCAAGTTCTTTAAGCAGATATGTGAATATCCAGGACACTCAAGGGATTGTTCAAATATTCAAGACATAGGAAAGGTGCTTCAGGTTTGCACCGCTCCCATTTAGATTTTTCTTTGAGACTTCATTGTGTAAATAGAGAAAACTAACAAAACCTACCATTTTTCCACAAGTGTCCCTGTAATAAAGCTTTCTCAAGAGACAGATTGTATTAAAGGTGTTAGAACCAAAGTCACAGATTTTTAGGCAACAAACAGAAGACCAGAGAGAGTTTAAGTACATCATGGTACAGGACTAAAAAAGCATCTCATTCCATTTTGCACCATCAGTCTATGCTTTAAAACCTTAATCATGGCAAACATCAAGCACAGAACTTCTGCCAAAAGAGAAAGGTTTAAGAACCTCTGGAACATGAAGGTTTGTACAGAGTAATAGAGGAACTGGTAGTGTACCAGCACAAACCAGCCACATCTTGAGAAACAAAGAACAACCTTAGAATTCAGCTGCACAATATTTTTGCCTCCTCCATATAGTAATGCACAGAGTTTATGCCTCTGGAGCTTTGGGCGTTATCTAGCAATATTAATGGCCCAAATCAGTAAAATCTTGATACTCTGATCATTAGAAGAATACCTATTACTTGTTTTCCAGTTTATTTTTTTAAAAAGCTATCCCACTCCACCCTTCAGATGGAAATAAAACCACAAAGCCTGACAACTAGAGGTGAGTCAGTGACTCACCTTGCCTTCCCTCAGCTTCTATTTGTGTTTGCAAATTAAGTTGTTGAAAATACATTTCCTTCTGCACAGCTGAAACATTATTTGTAGACCACCTTACTTAGCTTTGAAACCTACAAATGAACACTTCTGCATTTTTTCAAACTTCTGCAGTGAAGAGACAGCTTGTTTAATATGCCTAACACCATGAGTACTGCCCTCCCCACCTACTCTACACACAGTCCACAGTTATTAATCTAACTACAACATGAAGAGTTCCATTCAAAACTAGTTATCTTCAATACAATCCAAATCCACAGCTGTTCACATAACAATACGAACACTGGAAAACTCCCATAGCTAACTAGACTGCCATATAAAAAACTTTTTAAAGCAGTATGAAATATTACCAATACAACATTTGTATTATACCTAAATAAATACAAAGTTACTGCCATCCACAGTATAGTCTTTTATAACACTGTTAGAAAGTTCACTGAGTTGTCTCGGTGAAAGAGACAACTGTGGAAAAAGGTGATCACAGAGAAATTCTCAGCTATAGAGCAGTCATGACAAAAGCAGCTTAGTTCCTAATGCAACAATGTCTTCAAAAGCTCTCTGTCAGGAACAGTAAGGAAACCAAAAATGCCTTTAAAATGTCAAAAGTTCAGAAACGTGATTTCTGGTCTAAAACATCTAAGAATGATATGTTAACATCTCATGTGAAAGAAGACTGAACAAAACTTAAGAATAACCATCATACAATTAGAAATCACAAAAGAGAATTCCATTATTGCCACCAACCACTCTTAATCTTACTCGTCTAGTATTGATTTGCTTGGGGAAACAACCAGTTTGTCACAATGGGGGGCATCATGATAAAATTCAATACTGAAATCAATAATAATAAATGACTGTACAATTTAAGTGTGACAAGAACCACATGTATCACTATAGAAAATACTCCTCTGGTTTTAACTGCTCATGCAGCATTTAAGACAGTTTCACGGGCAGGTGAAAATGAACTAGGAATTTCTAAAAGATGACTAGCCAGAACACAAAACCAAGATGTTGAATCTGGTAACTTAAGAACAGTCACACACTGTCTGGCAACCCCACAGGCTTTGTAACTCCTGCCCAGAATTCCACAGCCCTGTTCACACAGGACAGCCAGGTACTTGTCTTCATGTTCCTGCAGCTCTCTAGATTGGATTTTTAGTATTGCAAAGTAGTTTGAATTGTACTACCATTAGCTCTACTAGAGATGAGAACCATAATCAAATACTGAACTGTCCTAAATGCAGACATACATGGTAATGACTAGCAGTATTCCAATAAAGACACAGAAGTATTAAAAATACAAAATAACTGCTCTGTGAAAACACACACTATTTCTCTTCTTAACTTCAATATAGGTACAAAAGTATTTTAAAAATGGTTTCCAATTATCAACTTTGAATTTACCATTCTGACAGCTGGAGAAAATTACACAAAAATTATTATGGATACGGTAAAAGCATGTTCTCTCTATCCCTAGTTATGTAGAATATATTGACAGCAAATTTAATATATATAATTTAATGCTCTTCTCCCTTCTACCTCCCTTCCAGGGATCCTGTTTTCCAGAGTTCTCACTCCAAATAAAATAACATTATCACTTAGTAGAGTGCTATAATCACACTCAAATTTATAAACATGCATTTTCCAAGTCTCACCTCATTTTCTAGTTGTATTTCTACAATTTCAGATTTTACACAGGAAGAATCCCTCTTCTTCACCACCATATACCTAAATACCTTCCCGATGTGTCACACCTCAAGAGAGGTTTCTCAGTGTGGCTCTCCAGGCAATACAGTAAAAGTATTTCCTCCCTACAGAACCTACTGCCACCAGCAATGTTCCTCTCCAGTCACACTAAGTGAGACATTTCACAAAGAGATCATGTGTAGGAAAGTATCTGCATTCTTCCAGACTTTAAAATCACCACTACAGTCCTTACATGGGGCATTATACTAAAATTAAAGAACCTGCTGACCACTGCAGATTTTGGCTTGCAGAGAAGAGGAAGTATTTTCAACATGGCATCATATACTGTCAAATTACTGGGTTATTCTTTGGAATTACATTGGAATTTTCTTTGAAGCAAAGCCAGTTTAAATAATTGCTGCCTTCTTCCACTCTTCCAAGTTCCTCCATTCACACTTTATCAACATTTCACTATCCAGTTTAAAAGGCTGGGGACCCAAACACCAGTGAATCAGCACAGTCAAGAGGTGACTATGGGTAAGGGCACAAACTTTTACTAGCTTTGTTGACAGAAAAATCCACTGGGGAATCTTTTCCTAAAATCTACATGAATAAATAAAAAAGTAAAAATGTAGAGAACGTTTCATAAGGCAAAAAAGCTTTGACAGTCCTCTATTAAACTGCAGAAGGCAGCACTATAAAGAATTCTACCATGAAAGCAAATTTTATGTTC